AGGTGTGGACTTTGGGAGCCCATTTCATATAGAGGTTACTCCCTGAGCCAAGATACAAGGGGTTGGGCCTAGGCCCTAAAAGGATATGATAGACTATCAAAGGATATGATAGACTCTGATGACACCCTATGGAAGGCCTCACCCTCCAGGGGGAGCAGAAAAGGATATGTGATAGGTGGGGTTTTAGTTGGGGGGGGGTTGTAGGGGAGGATGGGAGAGAGAGGGAACGGGGAGTGACGTGTAAAACAATCTTGTTTCTAATTCAAATAAAAAAAATTAAAAACAGAGAAGCCACAAATGGACTTGGGTTTCAATACTACCACTAAGTGCTACTGCGAAAAATCAAAAGGAACAAATACAGAAGCAGGGAGTCAGGCCAAAATCTCAATGGGAGATATGAACTTCAGCTACAGTAGCAGTGTGAACAGAATTAAGAAGTAGAGGAATTCGAAGCATATTCTGAGGTAAAATCAGTAAGATTTAGTGCTCTGGATGTGGGGTAAAATATAGAGATAAGAATAAACATTTTTAGCCAGTAATAGAGGAAAGAGCAGACAATACTGGGATGTGTCAAAGTGTAGGAGAAATGAGTACTGAGTAGAGAATCAAGAATGATGAGTTTAGTTGTGGACACTGAAATCTGATTCCACTTCTTGGCTAGAAAAAGGAGATGACTGGAAGCAGCTGACTGTGCACGTCTGGAAGTCAGGGCAGAGATCTAACTACAGATAGAAACTTAAAAATCTTCTGTATACAGGTGACAGGTTTTAATGACAAACTAAATGAGATTAAGAAGAAATGAAGGTAGGAACAAAAAAAATCTTTAGCCTGAACTCTACAACATTCCAGTGTGTAAAGACAGAAGAAGTAAGGAAACCCAGGAATGGAGGCCAAGCTAAGTGTGTGCAGACTAACAAACTCTGCTGGATGAGCTCTAACTACTCATCACTAGATCTAGCAATGCAGAAATCATCAACTTAGGAACACTGCTGGAGGAAAGTTGCTACCAGATTTTTGTAATTACAAATAGAGTTGACTCAACAGTTAAGAGCACTTGGTACACAACTGGAGCCACTCCAGTTCCAGGACCTCTAAGGGCATCCGGCACATATGTGGTATACATACATGCATGTAGACACAGGACTCGTACACATATACTAAATAAATCTTAAAAAAATACCACAATATATAATCTTTGTAGTCTTGTGGGAATGGAATTTTTGAACCCAAAGATATATAAGCTTAACACAGATATATTACCAATTTCTCTAAATAATTGCACCAATTAATTTCTATTCAGTACAAAGCTGTGGGTGACTTTAAACTAAAACATACACAAATATCAAATTTCTATTTATTTTAAAGATTTATTATTTTTTATTGTATATGTGCATGTATTTCTGTGTACAACACATGTGCCTGGTGCACTCTGAGGTCAGAAGAGAGCACTGGATCCCTTGGAACTGGAGTTACAGACAGCTATGAGCTGTCATGTGGGGGCTGGGCATCAAACCCAGGTTCTCTGAAGAGTATCAAATACTCCTACCCTATTTCTCTAGCCCCAAATATAAAATTTCTTAATCCTTGTTAATTAGATAGGTCTTAAAAGTTATCTTCTTGGGGCTGGAGAAATGGCTCACTGGTTAAAAGCACTGGCAGCTCTTCCAGAGGACCCGAGTTCAATTCCCATCACCCACATGGCAGTTAACAACGGTCTGTAACTACGAGTCTGACACCCTCGCACAGACATACATGCCTGAAAAACACCAATGTAAATAAAATAAAAATAATAATAATAATAAAAAAGTTATCCTCTTAGCCAGGCATGGTGGTGCATGTCTTTAATCCCAGAATGGGGGTGGGGGTGGGGGAGCAGCAGAGGAAAGTGGTTCTCTTTGAGTTTGAGATCAGCCTGGTCTAGATAGTGAGTTCTAGGACAGCCATGGTTATACAGAGAGAGTTTGCCTCAAAAGACAAAACAAAAATAAACAACAATAAAAAAGTTACCTTCTAATTCTGTAGTTCTTTATAGCCTAAGCTGATAATTATTAGGCATTTGCCTTTTTCTTGTCCACAAGCCACCTTTGCCCTTCTCTTCTCTGCCTATCTTTACTGATTTATAATACCTGCTGTATATTAAAGTTAACTCTTTCACTTTTCTTTATATAACTGCAAAGACAAAGAGAACTATAAATAACAAAGCACCAGGCTTTGGGGTTTTACACACTTCTTCTTACACCATCTCTTGGTTACTCTCTGCAGCATGAGAATATTCTGCAGGGCTGGACAGACTAAAAGTAGTACCAATAGGACCCTTCTAATGCATCCATCCCCATTCCACAGCCACGGAACCATATATCTTTTACTTTACATTAGGGGACAGCAGAAATGTTGATCAAAAGTTGTGTATTTAACTACATATCTACCACACAGTGGGCACACAGTAAATAAGCTTAGAATAGGGAGGCAATTCATATGGCAATCAGAGAACAAAAGCAAAGGTTGGAGAGATGGATTAGCAGGTAAAGTGCTTGTCACAGAACCACACGAACTTGAATTACAAGTTCGGATCCCCAGCACTCACGTAAAAAGCAAGGTATGGTAGCATACATTGGCATTTATAATCCAAGCAGTGAGGCATGAGTGGAGACAGGCAGCTCACTGGCCAACAAGTCCACCCAATTGATAAATTCGGTAAAGTCCTTATCTCAAAAAATGTGGAGATACTCTGAATGTTGACTATGGCCTCCATACATAAACACATGCCCTACACATACAAAAGAAAAAAAGGATAAATAGTTTTGCCCAGGAAAGTCACATCTACAATAAAAATCTAATAAAGACCTTTGAATGATAAAGAGACAATGGAATTAAAAAAAAAAAAAACAATGCAACAGAGTGACTGCATTCTCACAGCAAAGGTTTTATGTTACCTTCAAGCCCTCTACAATATCTTATTAATCTATACTCCAATCTTTAGGTCATGTGTGTTTCCTCAGTGTCCCTAGGATAAGCTATACTGTCTCTACAGAAAAGGGTTCTCATTCCTTGGATGATGAAACAACTTAGAAAAAAAAACTTTTAATGTTTTTCTATTCTTGAGGCAAAGCTACAACAGTGCTAAGAAAGTATTCCATAACATTAGGGCAACTGGATGGTCGGGGTTGATATGACTACTCTGGACAGCTAGGCTGCTGCCCCTTTCTTCTGTGTCCACACCACACACATTACTCCCAAAGCAACACATAGTTGAAGTAGACAACCTTCCTCAATATGAGAGGATCACTCTTAAGTCTGGTTGCTCCCTTCCTAGAACTTCCAAACAAGCTTTCAAGAAGTATTTAAATAATTTATGATTCCCTGATCCAGCTATTTTTTTAATTATTATTTTTATTTCCTTTCCTTAAGACATCCAACACAGGACTTCAGAGATGGCTCAGTGGTTAAGAGCACTCACCAGCTGCTCTTACAGGTCATAGGTTGGTCTCAGCCCCCACATCAAGTAGCTCACAACCATCTATAACACTCACTTCTGGCCCCACGAGCACCAGGCATGTACATGGTGTATACATATAATATCCGCATGGTGCACACACATAACATTCAGGCAAAACACTCATACACACAGAACTTAAAAAAGAAAGACACCAACACTAATACTACCTTTCCAAATAGAGTTGCATGTGAGTTAATAACTCATAATATACTTCACAAAACAGAGAACTAGGGATTTTAATTACAGAAAATGAATGAGGCAAAAATGGGATTGGTGGTGACTTCTTTTTTGAGAGACAGAGTAGTCTTGCTAGACATTCCGCAGGTAACTCTAGCACTGAAAAGGCTGAAGTAGGATTGCCAAGTTTGTTTTTTTTCCTTTTTCTTTTTCCCTTTCTCTCTTATAGAGACAGGGTTCTCATGTTGTAGGCCAGGCAGGCCTCAAACTTACTATACAGTCAAAGATAACCTCCAAGTTCTGGTTCTCTTGCTTCTACCTCTCTGGCACTGTGACTGCAAGCAAGTACCTCTATGACCAGTTTTATGTGGTACTGGGGATTGAACCTGGGCATCACAGACACTAGGCAAGCAATCTACTAAGCTGCGTCCTCAGTCTAAATACATATTCTTTAAAAAGAGGAAGAGGGGCTGGAAAGATGACTAAGCAGTTAAGAGCACTTGATGCTCTTCACAAGACTTGAGTTCAGTTCCCAGCACACACACACCAGGAAGGCTCACAATCACCTGTAACTCCCTCCAGCTCCAAGAGATGTGACACACAACCCCTTGTGCCCTGTGGGCACCAGCACACTAGTACACATATGCACACGCATGTGCGCATACACACCCCCCCCACACACACACACACACAATAATAAGCGAAGCTGAAATGAGCAAACAGAACATTCTTTTTAAAAAGTGAAAAGGCAAGTGAGTGGACAAGCCACGTATATAACAGAATCCCTACCTATAGAACAAATCACACTGCTCAGATTCTAGTTTGCCTAAGTGTCACATGGAGTTTGGTGCTTTTTAGTTAGATGAAATTTTGTCTGGAACAGAATCTGTATTCTCTTTATTTTTTTTGTCAACCTAAGATCACATTTTTCTTCCCACTGTACACTCACTCCTGAGAGCTTCAGCCACAGGGACTAAGTGAAGTACCATGCCTTTAAGAAGTGAAGAGGGAGAGCTGCAAAGTTGTACTACTCTTACACAGGGCTCCAGTTTAGTTCTCAGGACCCATGATGGATGGCTCACAACCACCTAGAACTCAAGCTCAGGGGATCTGACACCCTCTCTGGACTCTGAGTACTCGATCACACATGTATACCTACACACAGGTAGGTATACACATAATTTAAAAGGCATATCTAACAATTTTTAAATTGGAAGTATTTTAAATGATTAAAGAACAGAAAACACCATCCTCTCTATTAAATAATCCAACTTCATCAAAAAATCCAAAAGAGCAAACACCTTTAAACATGCAGCCTTATACTCACAGAGACAAAGGTGAAGCAGAGGCCAGCTCCCCGTGGTGCTAACTGCTCTGTGTCAAGGCGAGGTTTTGCTAGCATCACTGACATGAGGGTTGGCAGAGCAGACTGCTCTTCTGAGGCCTCCTTTGCAGCACTGCCATCTAAACCATACAGGGGCTGTTCTACTCGACGCTGGAAAACATTAAAAAAAACACACAAGTGACATGAGAAAGATAACCCAGAATACTGACAAAACACGCAGCAGGTGAGACTGGGTATCATAAGATGTATGATTTAGATCACAAAACACCTCTGAAAACACAGACTATAACAACATGGTCACTGATTTGTCACCTATTTTCAAACTGGAGTAAACACCTTACTCAGATCATGTAAAAGACATTCTAATGATTCTAATTTTACATAACTCTGGATGTGAGGATTACTTTGTATGGTTCAGTAAGTCACCTTCACAGCACTCTCAATCTTACAAAGAAAATGTTCTTTCATCCTATAAGTAAATGAAGGATTAAAATAACTGCTGCATGGCTTTATAGACAAGAGTTTATTACACTCTGAATTCTACTTTCAGTATTCCTTACATACAAAAATTTAAACTAAATACAAGCAGAGCAAGCATAGGACAGTAAAAGAGAAACATGCTACAAGTATGTGTGGTTTATTCCAGAAATGTATAGTTAAACATTAGCAAATCTGACAGGCAGTGGTAGCACACGCCTTTAATCCCAGCAGGAGAAGACAGGAGATCTTTGTGGGTTCCAGGCCAGCCTGCTCTACAGAGCTAGTTACAGAACAGCCAGGGCTACATAGAGAAACCTTATCTCAAAAAACAAACAAAACAGCAAATCTAAAATAATTTATTACATTAATAATAGAAGAAAAATTATGATTCTTCTCTTTGGATTGTAAAAGAATTGCCAGGCAATGTTAAAAAAGGAAGAAAAAAAAAAAGAAACAACTAGAAATGCCAGGTGGTGGAGGCACATGCCTTTAGTCCCAGGACTTGGGAAGCAGAGGCAGGCAGATCTCTGTTGAGTTCAAGGCCAGTGCCAGTCTAGTCTACAGGGCAAGTGCCAGGCCTAGTTTCAAAAAAAAAAAAGCCTAGAAGTATTTTCTCAAAAATCAATAAAAATATTACTAACAGAGTACAGTAGAGACCCTTCATTAAACTTGGGAATAGGCAGTGGTAACACATTAATACAGAAAATTTAATCAATGTGATATAAACACTGGAAGATATTTAAAAGTGTCATTTTGGATGACATAAATATTCACAAAGGAAACCAAACAAATTAACCAAAAAACTTCAGTAAGAGAGACAAACACAAAACAGGTTTTAAAAAAAAAAGTCAACAGCATTACTACACATCAATAATTAATTACCATCAGCAAGTAATAGAAGGAAACTACATTCAAAATAATAAAATATCAAAAAACATGTGAAATACTGACTATTAAAAAACTAAACAGCTTCACAGATTAATATAAAACAATATAAGCTGGGCATAGTGGCACATGCCTTTAATCTCAGCACTGGGAGGCTGAGGCAAGCAGATCTCTGTGAGTTCATGGCCAGTCTGAGTCTATATAAATTCCAGGTTAGCCAAGGTATATAGATCCTGTCTCAAAAACAAACAAACAAACAAACAAACAAACAGCAATTTAAATGGTGATGTCCTGGTTCCTGAATTCAAAATGCACCAATTCCAAATTTGAAAACCAGTAGAGTTTTCATTTATTTTGCTCTAGACCTTGGAGGGGAGAGAGAAATTCTCTGGCTTTTAGAAGATTAAATTAATGGCTTACATGAAAATTAGTCACATAATTTTCCTACTGACATTCCTGTAATCTCATCACTTGCAAGGATGCAGCATGAGGGTCACTGAATTCAGTCAGCCTGAGTTGTCTCAAAATAGTTGTTTACTCATTTATGTTTTTTAAAAAAATTCTAGCAACAAAAAATAAATTCAGAAACAATTCCACATAATATGGATACATAATTTATGATTAAAACATATTTCACAGTAAAGGGAATGTATTTATAGACTGGCATACTACTTCCGAAGTTATTTGGAAAAGAGACACTTAGTATCTTCCTATCTTCTATCACATATAAAAACCATAACAAGAAACATAAGCAAATGCTGCTGTAACTTAGTAGTGAAAAAAACTTTTACACTTGGGGAATGCAGCATGAATGTGTGTTTTTTAATCATGCGAATATCAATAAATAATTTAAAATACATAAAGTAGAGAAAAGACACAAAATTGAATGGTAAAAAGTCAACATAAACTTATATTACAAATTTACAAACACATTTACAACATACATGACACTGAGTTAGGAATCTTAAAGTGTCCTACCTAATAGTAAGAAAAAGCAAATATTCCAAAAGATTAGCACAAGACACAAAAACTCATTATGAGAGAAATTGAAAAGGCCATTCAACATATGAAAAGAGGTTTAATATCTCTAGTGAAGAAATCACAGTTAAACCAAGGTATTTTCTCACTGGAAAGACTATAATGACACAATTCAATATTAATTGGATATGCCAAAATTAAGAAACACAAACTGCTAATAATCTCCGAGAAAGAGATAGACATAGAAGAGATAGGGAGGGAGGGAGGGAGGAAGAGAGGAAAGAACAGTCCCTTGATGTAGCCCTGGCTGTCCTGGAACTTGCTATGAAGACCAAATTGGCCTCAAAATCTCTGCCTCCCAAGTGCTAGGATTATAGGAGTACACCACCAATACCTGATCTTTTTAAATATACTCTGACTTAGAAATTATACAGAAGTATAAACAAAAAATTAACTGCTGGGAATGGTGGTGCATGCCTTTAATCTCAACACTTGGAAAGCAGAGGCTCTCTGAGTTCAAGGCCAGACTGTTCTACAGATCGAATTCCAGACAGCCAGGGCTGTCTGGAACAGAAAAAACAGAGAAACCCTGTCTGGAAACCTGGCCCCTGGCCCCCATCCCCCACTCCCACCCCCCCAATGCCAAGAAATTAATTACAACACTACTTATAAAATACAAATATTTATAGTGCATTGAATAAATTAATACAACTGAAATAAGGAAAATTAGTATACAAACATACATGTATGTAGAGTCTAGAAACACTTGCCAGCTGCCTTTTTGGGGGGGAGAGAGGGGGTGCTGGGGATTGCCCTGCACATGCTTAAGTATATCTCCCGATTTTTTGGGGGGGGTGGTCTCAGACAAGGTCATAGCCCTGGTTGTCCTGGAATTTACTATGTAGATCAGGCTAGCCTCTAACACAGAGATCCACCTGCCTCTGGCTCCAGAGTACTGGGATTAAAGACATGCACTACTATACCCAGCTTTCCCCAGATTGTTTTGTTTTGTTTTTCAAGACAGTGTTTCTCTGCATAGCCCTGGCTATCCTGAAACTAGCTCTGTAGACCAGGCTGGCCTCAAACTCACAGAGATCCATCTGCCTCTGCCTCTGCCTCTGCCTCTACCTCTGCCTCCTGAGTGCTGAGATTAAAGGCATGTGCCACCACCACCACCTAGCACCCCAGATCATTTTTATGTTTTTTCTGAGACAGAGTCTCACGAAATGGTTTATGCTGGTTATCAACTTGCTCTGTAGCCAAGGTGGGCCTTGAACTTTCAATCTTCTTGTCTCAGCCACCAGAAGCTGAATTACAAGGTCCCAGTTCTAGAAAGGGCTGTTTTGTTAAGGGATTTTTACAATCCAATCTGCATATATGCTTTATCAGGAACAGCCTCTAAGTTATAATAGTATGTATTTTAATCCCATATCTAATTTTATCTTACTTTGACTTTTAAAAGGTTTTTTAGATTTATCTTACATGTATGAATGTTTTGTCTGCGTGCATATATGTGCAGTACATGTATGCCTGTCAGATCCCCTGAGTTACAGGGCTGCAGTGGTTATGAGCCACTGTGAGTGCTGGAAACCAAATCTGGGTTTTCTGCAAGAGCAACAAGTACTCTTAGCTAAATACTCTTAGCTGCTGCGCCACCTCTCCAGCCCTTTAATTTTTATGACAGGGTCTGGCTAACCTCAAACACTGACGTTCTTGCTTCAACTTCACAAATACTGACTGGGATTACAGCTGTGCACCACACTGCCTGGCTGCTTAACTATTATAGAAAGTTAAGTGAGCAAATTTATCAAATGCTAATGACAAACGAATTTAGTCTTCCAATCTATAAGTAACTAATCCTCAAGATCAACAACAGTCCTACCCTACCACATATAATAGCTCTTTAATACTGAGATACCATTCACTTCCACATGCTCTCTAAGCCAAGCACTCTGCCCTATATTCAATAAGCATCTACTATGGTCTAAAGCCTTTTCTTTTCACTTTTCTGAACGAAGGCAAATTAAGATGCTGGAATAAATCTTCCCTTAGAAAGCCAATTTAAAGACATGCCACGGGCTAGGGACAAAGCTAAGTACTTCGGTCCCTAGTGCTACAGGAAAGCAGACAAACAAGGCTAGGTGTGCACTTTTAATCCATACCAACTTCCAAGCCAGTCTGGCCTGCAGAGTGAGACCTTGTATCAAAACAGTGATTTTCTTTAAAAGGGATCTGCTAGGAAAAGTCTGGCCTGCAGAGTGAGACCTTGTATCAAAACAGTGATTTTCTTTAATAGAAATCTGCTAGGACAAAATCCAAGAGCATATGATAAGTAAAAGAAACATCAGAGTCATATATGGCCCTACGGGTACTTGAAGACACTCAGTTCTGATTTCCAGGGCACAACGATGTTAAGTAGTCATTAAGCAAAACCTACCCAGGCAGAAAACACAGGAAGGGCACACTCTCCATTTCCACGTCTAGAGGACTCCAGTGCACTCAACTACACTCTCAGGGAAAGGGTGAACTAAGAAAAAACTTTCTTTCACACTCAAGTAGCTGCAAGGAAGCTGCCTTGCAATGTAGGAGATCAGGGTTTAAGAAATGTTAGAACAATCTAAATCAATTTTTTTGACAGCTGAAACAACCAACCAAACCAGCTAAAATTCAACCAACCAAACAAATATAGGACTTAAATTTGATAAACTTGTATTAGAAAGGGAAACTCTCTAAGAACAAAAGCAAATAAAACTTCTCCCTCAAAGAACAAATGTATCTTCAGTCAAAAATGTTTTTAAGAACAATGA